TGGCCCATATACAGAATTTTCATCTTCTATATGACTCAGATATAACCCCTTAACTCTGGCCCCCAAACCTTAGAACCTCCTCAGATTTCTAGACCTTTTCTCTAGGATCTACCAAGTTTGAATCTAAGTTATCCAACCACAGATTAAAGTTGGGTTTAGTTTTTGCTTCATTCAGAAGTACACTGCAGAAGTTCTGAAGATAGGAAGGGATAGATCCCAAATGTTGCAGTATCAATGCTCAGGAAACCAGGTGCTGTAATCATATCAAAATTCTAATACTGTCTTCTTTGCCAGAGCTTGAATAATTCCCTTATCTCATTGGCTCAAAGGACATTGCAGACTTCACTTCCTTGGCAAGCACCTGCATTGGCCAAGGGAGTAAAATTTGGCAAGGTAAAACCACTTGAATTCCATAGGAATTAGGTCACCACATGCATCAAATAGCTTAAATAATAGCAATTAGACTCTGTAAAACACTTTCCTTTGAGACTCTTCAAGAGATGTTGACAGCCATTCGTTAAATTTTCATTCCCCACCAAAACAAAACAACCTCCCCCAAACAAACAAACCAAAACAAACAAAAAAGCAAACAAAAAATGTAACTGAGTACATAAACACACTTGACAAAAAGCCAGCTAATTAGCAAGCAAAATTCTTGGCCAGTACAGGAATTTACAGTAAATTATACATTGCATTATGTTCAGGTAGTTCAAATCCAAGCTATTTTTTTCGGTGAATGAAGAGGGGAGAAATAGAAAATGAAAGAGTACTCCACAATATTTGCTAGCATAAAATCTTTGCGACCCAAGAGGAAACATCAGTAAGACAATAAATGAAGCTCCTTATATTTTGGCTTGCCAAACAGGTTCTGTAAGAGACTGGGTTTTTTCAAAGAAGGTATGTACCATATTACGTTAACATTCCTAATTTGTTATATGTCTGGTATAAAAGGGACCTTATGGACTTGATATTCAAAGTTGGTCAGTATGTTCACTTCTAACATAGTCTTCTGCTGAACCAGAAGAGTCCAGCAATTTCACAGAATTGAACCTGGGACAAACTTGTTGAAAACAGTTTGTTTGCTTTTTGGCCTGGAAATTAATCTACTTGGTTTTCATTTTATACAGAACAAAAGACCTTCAATCTGTCATATGGTAATAAATCTTCCTTCTGAGAATGACACTTTTTGGGTTTGCAAAATGATCTGACATATTATCTTTTCTTTCTTTGGGCCCAATGATTTTCTCTTAAAAAATCAAGACCTTACTTTCAAAGGCATGAGGAACAAACTCGCTAAATAAAAATTCATTTATTATTTTTAACACCATGATTAGGACTTATTAATGAATCAAAAATCCTTGTGTAAGCTGCTGTGTATGTCTTCCATGTTTTAGGTTTAATATGTTACTCAGCAGCCAAAAAAGACAAAAGTACAAAGAATCAAGGAGAAGAACACTAGGATACATGTCAAGTCACAGATTCAATATGACAGCAGCCTAGGCATTAACAGAAACTGGGATATATACAGGAATTTTAAAAGGAAGATCCTGCTATGCATACGAAATTAGGGAAGGAATCTCATTTTAAATATATACAAAAAAGGTATGTGAGACTATGTCCATATATAGACTGACAGGCTGTTTAGCAATCAGAGATGGACTTCTTGAAGTTGAGGGAAAGTTAATTTGGATAGGATATGTGGACACACAAACACACAAAATTATACAGAAAGAAATATTTTCAAATGATAAAATTGTCATCAGAATGGTGATACTGGAAGGGGAATGTGTCTCTGGGTTTTGTATGTTGCATACACCTTGCAGAAGCTGTGATTTAAAGCTTAAAGCAGGATAATTTCTGTGGGTATCTGAGGACTGGCTAGTTCACCAAGAAACAGCCCTGACTTTTTGACACTGGAAAGGAGCAGAGCAACGGGATTGCTCTGACCAAGTTCAGAGATGCTCTGCCTAGTTTTGCACTACAGACTTTAATTCGCTCGTCTGTCCAATAAAAAACCTTTTCTCACCAGCTGTTTCCTGATGAAGCCCTCTGATTCAGTGTCTGCAATTTTTAAAGAAGGCATGGCTAAAGCTCAGTTTAGATACAGAAAGATGTACAAGAAGCTGAGAAAGACAGGAAATATTTATTTTAGCTGTTGGTTATTTTTTTCCACAGGAGCCTGGGTGCAGCTGCACAATGATTCAAGGACAGAAACCAACCTTAAACATTCCTGAAGACAAGGAGCACCACGTTTAAGTTGTAGAAGTCTTTGAAATTCCTGATTTGTCTAAAGCAGAGTAAAGCAAAAGTGTGTCTATAAATACTTTGAAAAACCCACCCACTGTAACATCTCCTGTTTCCTCAGCAGTTCAACCATGTGTCTTACAGCCTCAGTGATGCTTTCAGAATGGATGTGTTAAGGCTATGGTCAAAGGCTGAAGAGTCAGAATGGGGTTTGTGGGAAAGGTTTCTCCTGTGAGCAGTTTTGAGAGCAGAGGAACCCCACTCAAAAACAGGTCCTGGGCTCTCCAGATTGCTCAGGCATAAACAAGAGGCTTAGGATGAGGCTTAGAGCCCCCAGAGGGGAACTTGGTAAGCTGCAGAACTGAAAGGAATACATCACGTGCACTGATTTCAATAAGTGTATGTGACATAATTTGGCATTACTATGCTTTTGTGGTTAATCATTTAGTTTTATCAGCTTGCATACACATCATCTTTATTAAACAGTAACCATCCTTCATGAATCATGCAGTTCAAGGCCAAGAAAATAATCAGAGACCATGCTCTGTGCTGAGGAGATAGAATGGTTTGCAAAAAAATGAAAATACTGCTTTCTGCCATCCATCACAGTTTCCCTGGAATAAAGAGCAAGATGATAATGCTGGGGCCTCTTGAGTGCTAATAAATCAGACTGTCAGCCTGTGTCTAGTTAATATGAATTCTGTACAGTCCAATCCAACCTGGACCACTCCAAGACTCCCAAGCAGAAGATGAGGAGCCAGAAGCCCCTACACCACAGTGACAGCACCTGTGCTCTAATCAAAGGGTCACAGCATTTGGGCTTCTGTAAAACTAGGTATTTATTTAATTCATACAATACATTAAACTGTTTAGTTTTAAACCCAGGGTATCAGGAATGTATTTCCAAGGTTTTTGTCTTTGTAGTTGACTTGAAAGCAAAAGAAACTACCTACTTTTCAGATTAACTTCTTACTAATCAAAATCAGTCTGTAAACAAAGTTTTTACTCTTAATTCCAATCATCATCTTTTGGTTGTCATCATGCATATTCAGATCTTCACTCAAGTCAACTGTCCCTAATGTCATCCTCTCTGAGTAGTGGATCAGATTCTGGACCTACCACAAAAGGAATCATGGAGGCAGAGAAATTATGTAATAAAATGGACCTACATGACTGGTGTCAAAAAAGTGGCTGAAATAAGGATCTCCTTCCTTCTCTGGCTTTAGAGGCTGTAACTTAGATTTCTTTCCCCTTTGGAGAGTCTGAGCAGCAAGTCTTTTCCTTGTCATTGGCATCTGCAACAAAATAGCAGATTGCATTACATTAGAAACAAATTAGGGTACTATTGTGCCCTTGCTGACAACTTTGTAGGTATGGATAAAAATTGGCTAAATAAAACGCTACTAATGTCAAAAACCCTAATTGTCATTTTCTGGATATTTAAAGATATATGGGTATGACTTAATTGATGGATTTCAGGATATAGGAAGAAAGAAATAAAGACTTTATACAAATCACTTACCATCATTCAACAACATGCAGGGTATGCAACACAGCTGGGGGCCACAATCACCGTCTACAGGAGACTTAAGTGTTAACAAAACCTCAGTTTCAAGATTGCTATCAAATGGCAAAATGATGGCCTATGGCTCTGGCTCAAGTTGTACATTTGAATTATATGCCTGAAATTCATACCTAGGTTTATGTTTACTGAAGAGCTTTCAAGGAAAATGAGTATTTCTTTTCATAGGAGTGGTTGCATGTGCTTGCTCTGTGTGTCACTGAAGGCTGACGACTACTGCATTGTGAAAGGAAATTTCTCAGACTGACTCTCATCAGGTGTATATCGGAATGATGTTATTTATTGGAATGATGTTATTTGCTTTGATGAAAGAAGCAACAAAGATTAACAGACCATCCTTGTGATATTTACATACTTTTAATAATTTCGATGTACACCTTTTCGTTGGTTTTTCTATTTTATTGCTAAGTCATGGACACTAAGTTACGTAATGACTGAGTACACATCAGTTGTCACTTGATTCTAGCTCTGTCTCTCATTCCTAGAGCAAAAGCTGGATCATGTTAGAAGCATGGACAGATAGTTTTACCTGTGATGTCTGACAGGTGTCTTAGTGCCACAGATATCTCTTACTGAGGCATGATGGCAAATTTTGAATGTCCTTTCACAGAGCATGTCTAAAGTCCTTTTCAGGAAAGATTTCATGGCACTGTGCATAGCAAATACCATGACTGATTCTGCTCAAGAACAGAATGTGTGTCACCTTCCCCACCTAGTGATGCATTTTCAGCAGTACTCATAAAGAGACCTAAACCTGCAGAGAGTGGCATACATGAAGCATTACAGAGAGATTTACCCATTTCCAGAAAGCCTGTTCCTCTACCGCCCAACAAAGCAAAGCTGAAGAAAGGCTATCACAACCACCTATCAATCTAGAGATTATGTTTATACAAGGAGTATCTTCTTGTTCCCTACAACGTATTAGCATCTCCTGGTGCATTCATGTTTCAGTTGGGTTGGGCAAGGTAAAGAAGCTCCACCTCTGAACTGATAAGTGCTGTTGTGATCCTTCCCAACTTCTCAAAGTTCATTCTGAGCATGCATCCCCTGTTTGCCTACATCTGATAAACACAGTATCCTTTGTATTTTATTATTCTGGGCACAGTATTACAAGGAGGTGAACACCTCTTCCTTTACTCATCACAGACACATTAAACATATGAAAAAATCCACATGGATTAAATACTGATTTTATTTTTTAGAGAGCAAGTACAATGATGTTGCATTAAAATAATGCTACGTCATAGTTGTTACAGCTCTGATAGAAAAATAAACATCTCAATATACTACAGTGTCAACTCAGTAATAAATACCAAAATAGAAGTTAGTAGTCAACTGAAATTAATAAAACAGTCATAAAAGTATACTATTTTAAATAATAAAATATTCAGTATATTTCCAGACAAACAAAAGTAGTGATTTAAAAGTATCATTTAAAATGTAAAACAAACAGTAAGAAGTTATAAAATTTAAAACCTCTTCCCTTACTAATATTCTCTATGCATAAAATCTAGAGGAACATTCTTTATCTTTATATACTTTTTTTTACAAAAGGTAGCATACGTTAAATAGAAAGTTAAAAACTGTAGTATTATTATTAGCTGTGACACAATTGCTAAATAAGACACTTTAAAGTAGCATTATTTTTGAAGCAGCAGTAGGCAAGAGCGAAGATGTTAGCATGGTGAATTCATCCAACACTAATGCCTCTCCAAAAGACTCTTTCAACATCTTCCTTTAAAATACAACTGAAACAGCCCAAACACAATATAGGTATCAGAATGAAATGTTAGATTTGGACAGAAGTCATTAATTTAAGAAATGCCAGACAATTCTTTTTTAATAAGTAGGTACCTTTTTCTTTAAAAGTGTGTAAAGAAAAGGAAAGAAAGAGAACATGCAATCCAGAGCAGCACTTCTAAAGCCTAAGGATCTAGTAATTTTGAGGGGGGGAAGCATTACGTTTTTTTCCTGCAGACAGGCCAACCTCTCTGAGCTGGCTTGCTCTCAGTGAAACCCCACTGATTTGTCTCACTACAGAGATGCATTCCTACTGGGTAATTTTAACCTTTTTTTCCCCCTCTCCATGCATTTCAATTCTCAGAGATGGCTCTCTGAGAATTGAGATGGCTCTCAATGAGAGCCCAGAGATGTCTGTGCATCAGAGCAGCTCAAGATATAACTAAAAAGTAGTGTTCTTCTTAACTACAGCTTCATTTCTGCTTTCCCCTCTCTTGCAAATGGACAGCTGGAACACTGGCACCACTCATCACTCACAGTCAGAGCAGAGTTAGGTGTCACCCAGTACTGACTCAGCACAAATACCTCTATGAGAAGTGCCCTTTACAGCTACAGCTTACACTCCTTAAGGTTGACTGGTGGATATCCAAGGGCTGGTGCAAAGACAATGGGCAGGTGCCCAAAGACTCTCCAGAAGCTTTAATGAAGATCTGCAGCATTCAAGTTTACAGGTGATCCCTTGCTATGTGACGTGTAAGCATTTTGGATGAATAAAGATGTGAAATGTCTGCAGTGTTATGGTTCAGACTGCATATTATGCAGTTCCAGTGTGTGGACAAGTGCCTAGGATGCAAACCTAGGACACCATCTCTGCCAAGCCAACCTACTTTGAAGAGATTTCCTGCCCTGACAAAAGGAGAAGGGAGGTCTTGGAGCATCATCTCTGTAGGGACGCTGTAGGAAACCCCAGCATTGCACCTACTGAGATTGCCATCCCTCTTCAAGTCCTTGCACAGGCAGCCATGCCCTTGCATCTCTCTGCCCTGAGCATTTCCAGACCTTATGTTTAGTTTTAGGACTGAGGGTTGCTTGAAGCTGTTTCACACATTCACTCCCACAGTTTGCAAAACATGTACATTTAGGTATGCACACTAAGCAGGAAACAAATATTATGTATGATCAGACTGGGAAAATAATATTTTTCCGTGGCAGTATGAAGAATGCTTTATATAGCAAGTTTTCATGACATCATAGAGAGGAAAAAATAAATCCAGTTGAGAATAACAGATAAAATGTAAACTATGCCCATACGAACATCCTTCCTTTTAAAGGTTCACTTTTAACATTCCTTGCAAATATAAGGGAATTTCAGCTGGGCACAATGAAAATTCCTTGCATACCATGTGCACGTTTTCTGGATGAAACAGCTATTTTCCCACACATTTCTTCAGCAATCTTATTAGTGTACTCATGATGCTTGGAAATAACCATTTCATAGCTTTCCTCATTTTACAGTACTTAAAAACATCTGAAGTAAAATGCATGTTTTTTAATTGCATAAACATGGAATTTCTGAAATGTTAGGCAAATAACCAGTCAAAGGTAAAAAAAGGGAGATTAGCATTTGAAAATTATACATATGTATTTTAACATTAACATTTATGGTGTAAAAAGTCATGCACATGCTCTGGGAGCAAATCTAAAAACAATTCCCAAAACAAATGATGAGATGCAACAGTATCTGCTGGTACATATTTGGATATAGGCACGCAGTAGAATTATTTGACTTCCTTTTAATTTTTTTGAAGGAGCCCAGTATAAGAAATTTTATTTGAGTAGTTTGGAATGTTCTATTCTGAGGTTAGATATTTTCCCCCTATTTTTATGAGCATCTTTGACACACAATACATTGAAAACTAATGTGAACTAATTTGTCTTTAATATCTCCCATATTAAGCACTATAGGAAGCAGAGTCCTTCTGCAATCACTGAAGAAATTCCTTGTGAATTACAGGCTGCTTTCTCATTTAAGGTCATGTGCTGAGGGAACACAACTCCCTAAATAGTGAGGCTTTTGTTGAGCTATTCATCTCCTGCAGCAGCTCTTCTGAAAAACATGGTCAAAGGCAGAGGGAAACAAGTACCAAGCAAAGCCAGAGTTTCTCATGGATAGATTCCATCCCTAGAAACAAAGCCTCCTCCCAAGAATCCTGCTCTGTATAAGCTCCCCACGGGCCTTCTAAAAGCCTTGACCTGTCACATTAGCAGCAGCTTATTCTCTTTCACCAGCCTCCTCCACAATACAGTAAAACCATGAGGGAGATGCAAAAGAGCTTTTTATTCTTCTTCCTTTTTTTTTTTCTTAAAAAGCTCTTTTTTTTTTTAATGTACATTTTTTAATCTCAGAACAGCAAGCTGTTTACAGTGCAATTGGTCCCGTGAGCCTGCTCTATTTGACCAGAGCATTTTAAACATTCAGGCAGGTGTCTGATAAGGAAATACTGGCCATGCCCCCTCACAGGCAGCACCACAATGCCAACCAAGTGCTACAGAAGAAAAGCAGTAGCAGTGTGATGTGTCTGGAAGATGGGTGTTACAGCTCAAATTTTCTTCCATCGAGAACTCAGCTCCGTTGTCCCCTACCCACACAATTTAACTCCCTCAGTGAAAAGCAATTCCTAAAAAAAAAAAAAAGCTATCACTTCAGTAAATGCTTTAATAAATGCTTTAAAGCGTTATGGTGGGAAAATATCACTGAGCATTGAATTTTTTTTGTTTTGTTAAGTGAAAGAGACAACCAGAGACTGTTTGCTACTCACAAATAGTCATGAATTGTGATAAGGGTAATAGCAGGTAAACCTTTATCAATCTTTTATCTTTATCCCACTGAAACCAATTTTTTGGAATCTGCTAATTTACACAGAAGGAAAATGGTCCTACATGTTTTAAAAGAAAACGAAAGTTTAAGGTATACTTGATAGATTACAGAATTAATCTATAACTAAAATTCTACAACTAAGCTATCACTAAAAGTCAGGGTCAGTGTAAGGAAATACTCTTTTCTTTAAACTTTTACCTTTATGGTAGAAAGCTCAGGGCCTACTTTGGAGACTGCTTTAGAAACATTTAATAGTCCAGTTTACAGGTTTCAAAAAAAACACCCAATCCCTAAGGTCTAGAGCTTTTATGACTAATGAAAAGGCCAACATCTTTATATTGTTTTTCTCAATCCCACCTGATCAATTACTCAAGAAACTGAACACTCACATAACACTTATCACTTGTTCTGCATCCTGCCTTCTTTTCACACGCATACTCCTCAGATTCTAGTGGGAATTTACAGAAGAAATACGGAATAGGAAATATGTACTAATGTCTAAAAAACTGCACATAAGGAGGTCCTGCTTTTTTTCTGTAACTCTTCTCTATGACAAATACAGACCAATATTTCATATAGCAATAAATGTTGCTAAAATGGTACGCTGTATTCTGAGATGATTTTTCTTTTTGCCAGCAAGATTTTAGAGCATTAGAGGTTGATCAGACTTCTGTGGGGTTTCGGCAGCATAGGGTTAGTAAACAGACTGACACTTCCAACTAGCATATAACACAATGGTCTTCTACCATTACAGTCAGTTTCAGGGGTAAAAAAAATGCTTCTGTGTGACCTTGTAGCTCACATTCTTCTCTCAGATAAGCTTATATTGGTCCCACCATATTTAGAAGAGCTTTGCCCACTTCTGAAGGCAGAATTTGATCCCCTATGTATGAAGTCAATTAATGTGCTCCCTTGAGAAAAAGATTCATATTTTCCTCACCTTCTAAATTGCAGGTTCTTTTCCACATCACACTGGACACATTTCTCAAGGCACAGTCACAAAAATCAGTCACAAAACCCGACCCCATCAACTAATTTACATAAAGAAAAAGAGCAAGTGTAAAATCAGACATTCCTGACATCATACAAAAAGATCAAAGCCTTTATTTGGCAAAACACTGACATGTAGCTAGCAAACCAAACACAGCTCTGGTGTAATTCATCTACTTGCAACAGGGTTCATGCTGCTGACTCCAAAGGTGAAGTCAGTCAACAGTGATCATCATGTAGACTATGCTGTTGGACAGAGAAATTCTCATTTTCTGTAGCCACTCAGTTTTCAAATACCTTAAATTTTGTACAAAAGGGTTTTTTATGTTTAAACAAGTAAAAAAGCTAAAAATTACTCTTTATCAGATATAAATTATCTTTAAGTGACATCATCCATATAAAAAACTATATATATAATTTACCTGTGTGTGCATGGTGTGTGTATACACACACAACTATAGACCCACACCAGTAACTAAATACTTATTTAATCCAGTCATTTTTATGAGGAAAAGCTAAGACACTAAAGCAGACAAATCGGTGGAATTTATCAACTGAGAGAACTATAAAAGTACCATTTACTCTATTTAAGAGCATTTTAATAGTTTCATCTATTGCTATAATATACAGCAATATTAATATTTCAGTCACAGCTTTTGTCCATTCCCACAGAGCACATCAGTACTAGCTACATGTAGAGTGAGATCAGTGCTTTGTCAGACCAGTCCATATCTACATTCTAGGCCATAACTAAATAAATTAGAATATGCTAAAGTGCTACATCAACACTAATGTTTCTGAACAGTAGTAACGCACATTTCTCTTTCAAAAAAACCTAAAAAAATACAGCAGCTATAGTTTCAAACATAATCACATAACGTGAGTCCGTTTACAGATCACTTAGTTACAGTATTCAACAAAATGCACAAAACAAAACCATATGGCAACAGTCAAGATTCCCACAGAGTAGAAAAGGTAACTTTTTAAAAGTTGATCATGATGGAAATAGAATTTGCAGAAAACACAGAGTCTTCAGAATTCACACTTGAAAGTTTCGTTTAATCGCAACTTGCTGATGTCGATATTTATTTCCTCTGGTTTGTCACGTCTGTATGTTACTGTTCTTGTGCAAACTGTAGGCAAAAACATCTTATCCTTGAAGGAGAAGATATAATTTTTATCAGCAATTAGCTTTTATATGCAAGAAAAAGATTACTGAACATGATAGCTCTGAAATAAATTACCTTCTTTGTTGCAGATACTCTGTAATCAGATGAAGACTTAACTTTATTGCTACTCCCCTGCAGAATGATCTGCCTGATGATAAGGACAACAAGTAACCCGATCAGAAAGGTAACTATAAAGATTATGGAAAAGACTCTAAAGTAGCTTCGTCCAGAGAAACATTCTGCAACAAAAGGAAAACACAAGGGTAAAGCCTAATGTATAGAGCAGACACATCCCTCTAACACAGGTATATCTACCACTGCATAGCAGCCTTGCATAAACGTAACACGAGCCTGATAAAAATTGAGGGAAAATCACTTAGGGGAAATGAAGAGGAAAAGTTGCCGTATGTAGGTTTTTTAAAGTGGGGCATATCAAGAAAGGCAATTCAGATTAAGATCCATTGTAAAAAAATGGTGAAACTATTATTCCTTTAATCTACAGAATTAAGACTCAGGCTTCATCCATAAATTCTCTGTAGATGAGCGAGTTTATAGCTGGAATAGAGAGGATGAAATGTTAAAGATGTTTGGGGTGAAGAGAATTTAATCTTCAGAAGATGACAGTGAAGATCACTGGTGAAATATGAAAGATATTATTGAATCCTTGTCCAGTATTCTCCTCACAGGTAGACTTTTCTCACACGGTAAGCTTTCCTTAATTAATACTAAAGTTATGAGAAGAATATTCACAGTTAGTTTTCTCATTTATGAACTGTAGGATATAAAGATGTACACAAATGTGAAGTGACATTTACCTACATTTTTGTTGCTGTGTGGAGTGATTAAACTTTATGAGATTTTATTTACAAAAAAAAATTATTCTTCCACTGCCCTCATAACAGCAGTTTTTTATACTTGAAAGGAATATTCAAACATTACTGAACTTGAGGTAAGCATTCTACTTCTTTTTCCCTTGTTTCTGGTAATGCCAAATAATATAAGCATATCCAAAGTAATAAAACATACAGATGCCATAACAGATTTTTATAAATATTTCTTTAAGCATTGCTCAGGCAGGATTCATCTTTATTAGATGTGACTTCTCAAGGAGCTGGGAAATCTGATTAAGAAATGCTTGAAATCATACTTCCTGTTATTATTTATCTTTTACTTTCCCTGAAGCTATGAATGAGTTTTCTCTTTTTCCTGCCTTCTTTGTTATTGTAACAATGTGACACTTATAAGACATTCTAACAGTGGTGAATTCAATTAGTAATCCCAATATAGTTTAATCTCGTATTAAAATTACCTAGAAAATGTCACATACCTGAAGTATGGTCAACATAATGCAGTAGGTAAGGGCATGAGGTTGTGCACTGGTCAAGTATTGCTTGAGATGTATTGTTAGAATGATGGCAGTGAACACAGTTCCTGTAAAATAAAAATATAATTAAAAATCTATGTCTTTCTTTGCACTCCCTTTAAAGAGATTGTATCAACAGGCTGACATATTGCTTGCACATAATGCTTTCCTCTTGTCAGTAAAAACATTGCAATATTTATTTTTTTTTCTGAAATGTGATACCTCTCTCAGTGTTTTATCTCTCTGATGCTTCTCAGAACCAAGTAGTCAGAAGCTGTAAAGTAACACGTCTTTGGCTTTGAGCCACCTTCATCTGGTCCCTGCTCTACCCTTTGTGATGCAAGTTTGTCCCAGGGTGTAGCTAAGGGTCTACCACCCTTTCTTCAGCTTTCAGCTTCCAGTTCAGTCCTAGTCTTTCCTTATAAATCAGACTCATTGGGATGCACGCTGGAATTGAAGAGTAGAGACAGTTTTGTTCATAATTTTTGGATGCTATGTTAAGACAAAGCCAAGTAAGTTTGCAATGCTCGGCAGTTCAGAGAGACAGCAGCACAGTGGGAGGCAGTGCTTTCAGTCTTGCCATCTTCATTGTATAGCCTTGCAGAAGATGGGTATCACATGAGACCCTGAAAAAGCCCTGGCTGAATTTTTAACAAAGGTATGCCATCTTCTGAATTTATTAAAGTCATACTTTTCACAGTGATTCTGAACAAGCGTAAGCCAGAAAGGCTAACTGCATTTTATTTAGTGAAATCTTAGCATTCACCTTTTCGGACATAATCAAGCTTGGCTCTCCAGCATTTCCTTCAAAGAGCTATAATTCAAATTAATGCAAATAAACAATGATTCTGTTTTGAGCACAATGCCCTTTCAAATGAAGGGCTGATCTTTCACCTTCTGCACCACAGTGAGATGTAGAACATTATATGTGCTGACAAGAGGGTGTAGAAAAGCTGTGCCCAAGGGCTTTGTTCACTCTCTACGCCAGGACCATGCAGTGTGCCACTGAGAGCTTGATCTAGCTTCTCTCCTCCTGGGGTTGCTCTTTTCAACCTCCACACTGTCCCCTCCTTTATACAGGTAAGGAAAAATGACATGCTTTAAGACTAGTACGGCAAAGACTAAGTGTTTTAAAACTCAGTAACGAAGAATGTTGTTCTCTGGGCAAAACCAGCTCTGCTCTGCTGACCAATGGCAATGACAATACACAGGTATTGCTCTTGTTCCACACCTCCTTCAACTGAGAAGTACAAGGAGTGTGCAAAAACATATTGGGAGAATATTACTGGACTTTGTGGAATTCAGATGTAGGATCTAGTGTCCATTACTAGAACTCCAAATTCATGGGTTTTATTTCCTACCCAGAAGATTTCATATGAAGATTGATATTTTAATAAAACTATGAAAAAACATAGTTTTTTGGCTTCTGAAAGCTGAAAGTTGGACACAGACTGGTGAACATAGATGTGGACATGCAATTCCCTTAATTTCCAGTATGAATCCCTCAGCTACAGAGAGAAAAGTATAAATTGTTTCAATTTCCTACAGCCTAAATATCTAAGAAATGTTGCATCTAGCCAAGTAGAAATATTTCTCCACGTTTCAACATTAGAGAGTTAAAAAGTCAAGTCTAGCACAAGAAACATACCAGTTTTCTTCACAGGCTTTGTTACAAGTAGGGCAATATTCACACAAACGGCCAAAGCTTCTTGGATCTGTGCACTCACACTTTCCACATACGCATTTTCCTCTTCCACTGCAAATCTGGCCCTTTGAATTCAGGCAGTGCTTTGCTGATTGTGATGAGCACTCACAACGATCACCTTCCCAGCCAGCAAAGCATTTGCATTTACCACCTTCACATTCACCATTACCTACAACATCAGAGAGTCTTGAATCATATGCTTTTATGAAAACATAGAAAATCAGTTTTTAGATGCATACATTTGTTTCACTGGTGCTTTACATTAAACAAAGCTTATTTAGACCTTGACTTTCTAGTTAGTTTTTACGTTAATAACTTGGGCTGAAATTACCACCACAATATATATTTATTGATGCTGGTTGTTGTTAAGTTAAGCAAAAGTTACTACCATTTTCCCCTCTTGCCTTGGATGAAAGGAGTGGGAATTAGAAATTACACAATGACTGGAAAATAGTCTTCAGGTAAACTAAACAAACTTCTCTTTAGCAAGAAAATATTCAATTCAAATAAACAGCAAGATTCAGTGGAGGAATGAGTATCAAGTTCATGCACATGTGCCAAGTTGTTCTTTCTTTTTTTTCTTTTCTTTTCTTTTCTTTTCTTTTCTTTTCTTTTCTTTTCTTTTCTTTT